TGTTAGTGTCATGAAAAGCTGGAGGGCTTTAAATCCTCCAGTTCCCTGAGCTTTTTGTGTTCTGAAATATTTGATGAACTCCAGAAGAATAAAATACGGCAAAGAAATGCACGGTCAGAGTGTTTGTGGAATTCAAAGAATAGCTGTTAGTGATGGAAGCTCTGAAATGCACAGCCAATTTACATGGCAGGAGCTTTTCAAATTACCAGCAGCTGTCTTCACTAACTGTGAATATTTCCTTACTCTAAATGTTCAGAGGCAACCTTAATTAACTTTTATCTTAAAGGCATTCCTTTCGCCTTATACCTTCTTCCTCTTCTGAAAGGCAAATTAAGAGTGATTATTGAAAAATAAATGTCTTATGTTTAAATTATGTCGGTGGGATGGGGAGTGATAGTTAATCACAAAACATGCACCTTTTCTCTTTCCATCATTGCCTGAAATACTGAGCCATTTCTGTCTCAAAAAAAAACTGTTACTGAAAAAAGTTAGTTGGTGTAACAGATTAGTATGTACCTCTTAAATTTCTCTTATCTTATATTTAGAGAGCTGTCAAAAGACTGTACCTTTAGCATCCAGGTGCTCAAGCACTGTTCATGCATGCAGCAGAAAAAAGTAACATACACCTGTTCATAGAAGTGGATTTCTTCAACGATTTGTTTCAACTTCTCCATATAATAGTGAGGGCATCATAAGGCAAAAAATAAAAAATTTACCTTTATTAAGCTCTTCCTGAGTAGCTCTTTGACACCTTACTGGCTTGTTGTTAATGACAGACTGACAAATTTCCTCCTTATAAAATGAGAACAAAATTGATTTTAATTGCCTGCATATTTTCTTTGTTCTTTGTGCTCCGTCTCTCTCATATACAAAAATGAAAATGAATACATTTCTGGAAAAGTTGTGCTTATTTGCCTGGAATGGAAAAATTAGATAAAGCAGTTAAAGCTAGGCAGAATCATAAAAGACAGTTTTATGGTGGAAAGTGCTGGCCAACTTTATAAGCATCTAAATACAACTTTTTTGGAAGATAATGCCTGTGACATCTTAATTTTTTTTGCCTGGTGGCCTTTTGAGCCTAAATCTGTCTTTGAATAGCAATTTTTCATGTGTCTCCATATGAGACAAACAAACAACAACAAAAAGGCTTTTTTTCTTTCCGTTTCTTTTCTTTCTATTAGACTCCAGGTAGGAGACGTTTGTAGATGGGCAGAATGTCTCATAACCAAGCTTTCTTTCATGTTCTATTCTGTGATACTACATCACACTGACATTAACACAAAGGACAAGTGCAAAACCTTTTAGCTGAGTGTCTCTTCAAAGTGCCATTTAATAGTCTGGGAACTTATTTCCCTTCAACATAAGCTGGCAAAGGATCCAGTGAAATGGAGCATTGACCCTTAAAGTTTATCAAGATAGGCCTTTGTAGAAGGGCAGTCATGCTTTGTTCCAGGACTGCATCAACTTTTTAAACAAGTTGTATGTGATGCAGGCATCCCACAAAGACAGGAGATTGTTGTGTTGTGTTTTGACATATATATACATTCACAAAAAATGCTAACTTGAAAGTGCCTCTTGTTTCACCTCTTGTTACTGGTTATGCTGCCTCCATAAACTGTTTGTAGTTTGATGTTTTCAGGATTTCATGCTCAGTAGAAGTTTTCGTAGCTTTAAAGCAGACAATCAATTTCAGGCATCAGTTTCATCACATTAGTTTATCAAGTTAGTTAAAAAATTAGTGTAACAATTAATCGGAAGTCTTTTCTAATTTTAACTGCAGGATTCAGAGTCTGTTCCAAACTATAAACCTCAAGCAAAATCTAGGACAGAGAAAATTAAAAGCAGTGTGGAAAGAACATAATTTTTTATATGCAGATTTTTTAGAAAGCCTTCCCTTTCACAGCATAATTGAAATATTATTTAAAGGACCCATAAAAGATAACATATTAAAACAAATTGAGTTGCACATATGAGTAATTCACACAGTGGGAAACTGATTGTAAGAAGTGCAATTTTACACATATGACCTTGACATGAATAAAACAACTTTTAATTTTGTCACTTCCATTATAAATGTATTCTACATTCTATAAATATAGAATGCAATTAATAATAATCTTAGCAGAGAAACAACAGTCTAACATAAAAATCTGCTTACAAAATAAATTTATACTATTACTGGACTTAAGATATGATAAAAAGAAGGATTTCCCAATACGTAAGGACTAGTGAAATATTCAGCAAAGTTAATTTAACTCACATGTTGTAAAACTGTCCAAAGATCTAATTGTCTCTGGAATATACTTTTTTCTGTGAGAAATTTACATGAAATTTCTTACTGTGCTTTAATTCAATAAATGTGTGTCATGACACTTCCATACCAGCTCCTTAAAGCCTTGGCTACTTCTTACTGAAGTTACATCTGCCACTGCAGCTACTTCCACTTCAGCTGGAATTTACGGTACAGTTTCATGTTGCTGTTAATCCCATGTTACTGTGGGTTGCTGCTGGGAAGTGCAGCCACACTGTGACCCCCCCCATGCCCGCCACACGTTCCCTCTGTTTCTCCTCTACAAACATTATGTGGCTCTGGCGTGACCAGGGTGTGTTTGGTGATCCGGTGGAAATCTAACTGGGATCCGCTGGGAACCGCAGAGAAACTTGAGCTGTTTCTTCCATTCTTCTTCAGCCAGCCTCCCTCCTCCAGGCATGGTTTCTCTCTGTCCCCTTTCTCTACTGAAAAACCTTCCTCCCATCACTGCTTCCCAAACTTGGTACCCAGGAGGAGTTTCTTGCCAATGCAGTCTCCCTCTGGGAAGCTGCGGCTTCATGCGTTTCACCAGGCAGGCAGTGATTTGTTAATAAATTATGTGCACTGAGGTGATGCATGCGGGTATGTTACAATTACATTTCTGGAGTATAGTCATCCATGCTTTGATGTGTGAGTGATAACGTGGCACCTAACAAAATCATAATGAGAAGAAGGGAAGTTTGGGAATCATGTGTCTTGTAAATAATTCTTAAGACAGGCATTTTCCTATAAATATTAATACATTTTTAGAAGACATTACTTCAAATAAACACAGAGCTAGAACACTATTTGAAAATACTTGAAAATGAAGAAGGATCTTTTTAAAACTTGTTTTCATCTGTGATTCCTGAATTATTTACTTCAGGCTTTTCAAAATAATTCTGTAATAGGATAAGACATTGGTTTATCAATTAGAGTTAGATAGGCTTTCTTCAAATGAAAAAATTAGCCTTGAAAGTTAGGCTTTATATGAAAAATAAACTTCAAATTCAGTCTTGAAAAATACTCTGATCAAGTTTGGCAACAAAATTATGAACTGTAAGCAGATTAATAGGAATAAGTTGAAATATACATATAATTGTGAAACCTTGATCCAGTTTTGGGATTTATCAGCATCCAGCTTGTCACTTTGATTTTGTGAACAAAGATTACACTTTTGTCATAGATTATATATATATCTTACTTATCTGATGAACTGAAAGATCTCCTTTGAAATTCAAACAGGTTAGCACTGATCACTTATATTGCTTATTTTTTTGATTCCTCTCTTTTTTTCCTGGTCCTCTTTGTTGTTGTTCGTGTTTTACATTAATCCATTCCAAACAACTTACCTTAGTGTTTCTCATCTAAGTGTCTCAAAAGGTTAAGGGAAAAAAGTTGCACTAATAATAAGGAAATAAGGAGTGACTCTAACCAAAGCAAGCTGTACCAAGAGAAAGCAACTGTGATTCTTGTCTGTAATATGGGCGTCAACTTTAATTCAAAAACACCCATCTCCAGATGTCTGTGTAAGCAGTCTGTCAACCACCACCAGCAGAAGAGTGCCTGTGTACGCAACTGACCTCACTTAGCCTCCTCTGAAGTGCTTGCCATGTTGTTATCTATTTTTTGACTTGACTTTTTAAACTTCTTTCTTTGTGGCTACCCAAGTCTTACATTATCTTTCTACCTCTGTCTCATCAACTCTCCATCTCTTTTCCTGTCTGGTCTGAAATTCCGTATCTCCTCTCCACAGCAGCTCTCTAAAGTTCCCTGTCTGCTCCTTGTGGCTTACGTCGGATTTCTGCAGTGGAGTTGCTTAACTGCACAAGGATGAAGGCAAAATTTACTGGTAGAAAACATGGAGAGAAAACTATATTGTAGGCAAAAATCACAAAAAGCGGGAACAGCTTTCCTACCGTGGTGGCCATATGGATGACCACTGTCATCTTGTAGAGAGCATAGATCAGGGCTCGGCAAGGCATCGCACTGTGGCTCTGCACAGTGGGCAAGGGAGTGGGCAACCACTGGAGGTTTTGTGTTTTCCTTCAGCAGCTTCTTAAGATTATACCCTTGCAACCCAGCTCTGCTTCCGGGCACAGGGTATACCTCTGATGTGGAGGGTACTTCAGCTGGTTTTTCTGCTCCCGGAAAGGCAGCAGGCTCACAGGGTTGGCCCAAGGCATAAGCAGGACATGCCTGTACAGAAGCTTTGAGCACCCCTGGCATATAGCCAGTCTTAGGCTTGCCTCTAAACAGCAGCGTGGGCATTGGTGCAATCTCATCTTCCTCTACGCTGTGCCTGCTGGAGGTTGTGTGGAGATCTGCATACTAGCAACATGAGTGGTTGGGGTGGGAGAATGCAGGACAAAAATTCTGTCTGTAATGTAAGATTTGGTTCAAAATCAAGAACTGGTATCCAAAATTTCTTTCTCTTGCTGTGGATTATGTATCATCGTTGTTTGTCTTTGTTACAAACTGTGCGTGTGTCCAGTAGCTAGAAAGCCTACCATGAAGAGTTTAATATGATTGTGATAATGATGTTAAAATGTGTTCGGAGGAATATTGTATGGGTGTGAATTACTATGGGGGATTAAGTAGTGCAAGACATTGTGGATAGTTGTGCTTTTAGCACCTGAGGATGGGCAAAGTCAAAGCCTTTAATCCCAATACTCTGTGCTTACTTGGAAAAATGTTTGTCTGACTGCAGGCATGGAACCCGTTGTGCTGGAGAAGTGGCAGCCACGGCAAACAACTCACACTGCACAGTAGGAATCGCCTTTAATGCCAAGATTGGAGGTATGTGAAACAATCTCCCACCAAAAAAATAAGTAACCAAAGAGCCATTAGTGCTAAATGGTACATTCAGACCTTTCTCAGCAAGAGAAGGAGATATGTATAGATAACAAACCTAGCTGTGTTAACAAGTAAATCTCAGTTGTAGAGTGATCGTTAAATACCAGTACTGAAGGAGTTTGTCTGCAGTGACACTTCTCCAGTGCTTCCTGGAACACTGCCTCTCCGTACACACAGAAAAATAAAAAGCGAGACCTTTGATGAAAACATAAAACCCAGAATTAGGATATTTGAGTTTTCTCACAGATTCGGAGTTCTAAGTGATGAACTTTGACAAACCAGAAGTAAACGTACACATCAGGAATATTGCCTTGCATATTGATCCCAAACAAAACACTGTCAAAACATAAAACCTTTTTGTATTGTTTGGCTGTGGTTGGAGAGAATCTGCTTTTGATCCCTCTGTGTGATCCGATTATTGCCTGAAATACAAGATTGGATTGCACTTTTTTTTGTTCATTCAGCCAAGAGGTTCCAAGTGGTTTCTATGAATTCTTAGTCAATGGCTGCTCAATTAAGACCTTTGGCTTAATTTGTGGACATGACTATCAAGATGTCATCTGCATGTCTCCTAAGCTGTAGCCTGCCTGTGCCAGATTTTAATGCTTCAAGTGAAGTTTTACCCTGTACTTCTGATGAAATCATGGGATTGGTATATTGGCTTTCAGTAGAAAGACCTATAGCTCAAACTCATTAATTTTTTATTTTCTGTCCCAAAATAGAGTCCATCTGTGAAAACAGAAACATGTTTACCTATGTATACATCAGAGGACAGTTCAAAAACATGACCAGGCAGAGTTGAGGCCACGTTTCCACAATTAATAGTGCTGTATCTGTTCTCTACTGGTTCAGTACAAGTTTGATCCAAATCAAATGTGAGCACAGCTGCAATTCAAATTAGCCAAAGCACACAATGTCGTCCTAATGTCAGCTTTCTGTTTTCCTGCTGGCTTCAAGAGGATAGACAATACCTGATCCAGCATAAGGTTAGAGTGATGCAGAAAAACAATTTCCCTTCAGGTGGAGAGCCTGCCTGCACAAAGTTACCCTGTCAGAGTGGTTTAGAAAATCTGAACTGGACAAGTGAGTGAGTCTGTGGCAGATGAACAGGCTGTCTCATGTGGACATGGCATTTGGTCATGTACCAGCAGCTACGAAATCAGATTTATTACGTTGTCAAATCAGAGTCAAAGAAGAGATAGTGCACTAATAGAGAGAAAAGATGGCTTCTGGAGAAGTTTCATTTGTGAGTTGGATAGTCACACAACCTGCAACAGCTTGGGCGTGTCCTTGAAAAGTTCTCCATTAGTAACAGTGGCTTCTTAATAGGTTATTATTTATTAAGCATTAGGAATGTGCAATAATAATGTTTTAGAAACCCTCCGGGCATATTAGCTGAATCACAGTCTTTTCTTAATATAGTGTAAAAACTGATTTAGATGGAGATCACATGAATGCAGGTAATGTGAACAGTAAAGACTGTATATGCGTGCCTTTTATTTATTTATTTATTTAGTACGAAGAATACAACAGCCTTCAAGAAATTTCACTGGTCTAAGTGAAATAAAAATTTTATCCATTCTGTTTGTCACCGTGATTCTGTAGAGACATCACTAACACTCTTAAATGCTCTTAAAAGAAAGAGTAATAGCAGTGTGTAAACCTCACTTGAGGTAATGTACCACCTTTTAAAAGCATCAGCACTTGAAAATAAGACTTCAGGAGGCTCATCAGATAATCTGTAGAAAGTCAGAGGCAAGAGGGAATTCCAGGGTATCAGGAAGGGAGTTTAAGCTTCCTCTTCCACAAGGTGTGTATACTTAAGAGTTTCACTGCTGCTGACCTCTATTTGGCATGCCTCGCTCCCTTCCCTCAGAAAAGCCATAAGCTACACATGTGAATATGCACTGGTTGTGTTCCCTCTCCACAGGCCAAATAGAGTGTAAAAATGTTGAATCATACTATGCTGAACTAGTGTTCAGCTTGCTTGTTTCCCAGGAATTTAAAGACCCTCCTTGGGCCTTCTTGGAGAAGAAACTAGAGTCAGGCTAAAGCCGTTACATTCTCCTCACACAGAGGAGCACCTGCTGACAGTGATGTTGAATTTGCTCCACCAAGATAAGTATTCTTTATTTCAAACCAAAAAGCATCCCTGGACACGTAAGGTATATCAAGGAGATAAAGCAAAGGGGAAAAGAAATCCTTTCCATTGATATTCCATCAAATACTGGGAGCTGAACAAACCCGATTAATGATCTTTGTGATGGAAAGTCATTAACAAGATATCCACCAGTAATGCTCACTTTTTTTCTAAATGTGTTTGTACTCCTTGTCTCATTTCCACACATTTAAGAATGTCTCACCACAAATAGATCAAAAATAAGATCCTTAGAAAGTCTGAGCCTTCTCTTACAACAGTGTAAGCGAGGATGTAATCTGCAAATAAGAAAATTTGAGTAAAATTGCAATCTGGACCTTCAGTTCCTTTACAGGTTGTTGTGGGATGTTTCTTAGAGAAGATGATGCACTATGCCTGCAGTTTGTGCTTAGCTAAGCTAAACCCTTTCACTGAAAGACAAACCAGTGCACCAAAGGGGTAGATCTCTTTTTTAATGTGACTCTGCAGTAATCGCGCGTAGCAAATTACCACCTACAGAGCTTGTGAGACTTTTTATAGGAAGGGATGGTTACCATGTTGTTATTGTTGCAGACTGATTGTGGAAGTTGCAAAGCATCTGTGGGGATTTGGGTGCTTAGTTACTTGGCTGGGCTCGAGACCTGACAGGAAAACAGTTATACTGAATTATGGCACAACAGATGTAGATTGTCTTCAGCTGACGAGGAATTAGTTCAGCTGTTTCTTTAAGTCAGACGCTGATTAAAAACAAACATTTTAAAAGACAACTTACTTTCAGCTCGGTTTTGCATGTCTCCTGTGATTCATTGAAAGTTTGTTCTGACTAAAATGCCACTTACATTTTGGCAATTACTGCAAATATTGGAAAAAGTTTATAGAGCTCTAAAGTCTTAGGTGGAACAGTCTGCAAACGCAGTCTGTTAATTGCCTTCTGGACAGCTTTTGTTGTGCTATCACCACATGCCAAATGCAGTTTGGAGGTTTTGTGATCGGCAGAATTAACTACTCCAGACATTGGGGGTGGGGGGGTAGAAAGAAGAAGAAAGAAAGAAGAGAGAGAGAAAGGAATTATTTTTGTTTTAAATAGCCAATGAGTTGTCTATTGTTCAAAGTCACCCTTGAAGCACATCTGTCAGTTGTTGGCCAGAGAGAGCAACACCTAAGTCACAGCCTTGTCCGTGTTGCTTTAGATTTGACCACTTCACCATTAGCAAAAAAACCTGATGTGAATTACTTCAGGTGCCAATGGCAGAATTTGGAGTTACTGTTCACCGGGTGCATGTACTATTATTTAGGCTTGCTATTCAGTAACAGACATAAAGGGAAGCTTTATTTTCCTTCTTTCAAAAGCGGTATGCCTTTTATTGTCTTTACTTAGAACTAAATATATTTTAATGTGCTTGAAAGAAATTGAGAACACAACTTCCACCCATCATTAATTTTCTGAGATTATGCTGAGGAAGAAAAATAAAACCTGAGAATCTTAGCGTTGGTTTAATGACTTCTTTTATAAAGTAAAGTTCATAGTGAGATCACTGTTTGTAAAAGTTTATTATCTCACAAAACATGGGCAGCTTTTGTGTGAACTTAGAAATATGATCACTTTTCATTTTTGAGTCAATTAGAGTAAGGGAAAAAAAAAGACCCTCTATCAACAAAGCACCCCCTATGCCTTTTGTTAATTGGAAGTTAAGGTCCTGGTAAACACTCAAGTTACTTCAGGCTGAGCTCATGAGCAAAATGAAATGTGTCTGTAATTAAAAATATGTAAATTTGGCTTATAAATAGCAGTGGCCTTTTAAGGGGGAAAGAGCGTCAAATTTGTTAATTGTGGAAGTAATCATTACTCTGTACTATCATACAGTTACATGCTAATTATTATTTAATATTTAACATCCCTTTGATCAGATGTCACACTAGCTGTATGTAGGTCCTTTTTCTTGTTTAGGTTAAAACTGGCATCAGCGATTTTCTCAGTCAGAATTAACTGCAGTCAAAGTCTTACAGTTAGTCAAAAGAACAACTTTAAGATTCTCTCAGCTTCCAGATTTAAGCCTACCTTATTCAGTCTAGTGATCTTAAAACATCATGATGCCATTCACTTTAGAAGGGCTGGCACATTGACTTGTCCAAACCCACAAGAATGGATTCTTTTAACACAAGAATTTCAGATTATACCTTACAAAAGCTTCTTCTGCACAGAGGAGGATGTTCACAATATTGTAGTTTTAGGTTGAATAATGTTACATATAGGGTATTTGTAAGTAATTTCCTATAATCACCATGCTACTGTGTATGGTAATCGGTCTGTACACACGAGCTTTCTCCCCAGTTTCTTCTTTGCGGCCTCATATAATGAAGGAATAATCCCACTGTCAGCAGAGATCCTTTTATTACATCTGTCAACATACTTACGACTGTGAATGACTCAAATTAGGTGCTGCAGTTTCACTGCACTATAAAAGGAGAAAGAAAATCATATATTATCTTCGAGTGAGATATACAAACATTTCAAGGTTCAAGTCTTTTTTAAATTTTTCTTTAGCGTAAAAGTTTGTTGTTGGAAGTTTGAAGGCTGTGTAGTGGATAAATGATTTATAGATAATTTTTAAAACTTGAAGAAAGATCAAAATATTCCTTCCTTTTTTGTATTTTTTCATCTGGAGACTTTTTTCCATTGGAAAAACACATATCCAAACAGGTTTGTTTGTTTTTTTAACAACAGTAGAAATCCTTACGATCATTCAGTCCAATGTCCTACACAACAATTTTCTCGGGGCGGGGGGGGAAGGAAGCATTTTGGGTTGGTTGGTCCTGTTCATTGTATCTTTCATTCTGAAGGTGTACGGATGCTGGACGGAGACGTGACCGACATGGTAGAAGCAAAGTCTCTAAGCCTTAATCCCCAGCACATCCACATCTACAGTGCCAGCTGGGGGCCTGATGACGATGGTAAGACTGTGGACGGACCTGCTTCTCTAGCACGTCAGGCCTTTGAGAACGGCATCAGAATGGTAGGTTGGCATCAAAGTGTGTTTCCTAGATCTGCTCTCGTGTGCAAGTGTAAGGGTACACGTGCCCGGTATGTGCAAGTGCACAGCATGGGGAAGAGGAAAGGAAAAAAGAAAAGCTTCCTTTGTGTAAAACTACAAATGCATTTTCCTTCTATAGTGACCTGACGGTCAGTCCTTCCTGAAGTATCAGCTCTGTTCATTTTCAACTGGAATACATTATCCTCAGTGTCCTTCGAACTGCTCTGAGGTAATGGTGTAATTCTGCAAGAAAAAACAAGACTGAAAAATGCTACTTTGCACAGCAGTGCCAAGTCATCAAATCTGAATTGCAATGCAATTTTAAAGCAAAAGCCTTGACTGTTTTTCCTTCTTCCTTCCTTTCTTTCGTTGCTTTGTTTTGCTTGATTTCTTAATGGAAGTTTCATGATTTTAATAGGGAGTTGGGGTCTAAAAAAAGTCTACACCCACGTTTCTTTTAGCATTTATGTCTGGTCCCAGAGAACTTACACCCTATTTATAACTTACATATACATTTCTCTACAAGTCTGTGCTATTATGTTTTCTCTGTGATATAGCCCAGGGATCTTCAATAATACAACACAGAAAATCCCAAACGCCCCTATATGAAACACTCTAAGACCTTCTCAATTTTCTTTAATAATTCACTGTCAAACAAATAAGACCATAGAAAGAAATGAGTAGTTAGAGGAACTTTTGATGTCAGAGGCCAGTTTTTAGTTCTTCCTTTTACCCTCCTGCCTGTTAAATAGATCAGGGAATTCCTCATCTTCCAGTGCTCACACCTCTTTCCACTATATAGGACTGGTGGAAAGGATTTTAAAGCTTTGCACTTGAAGGTCTGAGCGTTATTTTGAATGCACCAGGAGACTTGCTGGTTCAGTGGTGGGTGGCGCTAGGATCAGCAGATAGGGGATTAATACAAAACATTTGTTTAAAGAGACTGAAACTGCTGGACCAAAGTGGAACTAGAATGTAGTTCTGGAACATGGTAACACTGTGCAGCAAGATTGGAAAGTGCAGCTATTATTGAAGTCAATAAGTGTTTTATCCAGGTATGCCAAGACTGATTTTAGCAAACTATAGCTAACATTCAGCCTGGAAGATTTGTGCGTGTAAGAGACAGCGTCTGCCACTGAGAGACTATATTAATTTAAGGTGTACCATAAAAAGCAGTCATAACAGCAAACAGGGACAATGGGTGCGGAGCGGTAATAGACAAAGTTACAAGAGCACCTGGTCAAGCTGACAGTCTGTATGCACAGTGCAGCATTTCAGATGATTTACAGTATACTTGGCTGTAAGTTGTAAATAAATACATCACAAAATTGATACCCAGTATCCCATAAACATTGCCTGAGCAGCACAAGCCTCGGAGGTGTGAATTCACATCTAATCACAGCTGCATCCTTGGCTTATTTCGGTTTCCTCAATGAAGTTGCATACATTTCTTACTCTCACCCCTGTCATCCCTGCCCCAAATGTGGATAATAATACGTGCTCAGCTACGCAGCAGATAAGTTAGGAAGAGCAATTACTGAAACACTAAACTAACGACAGGGACTGTGTGCTTCCTATTCTACGTGATGTTAAAGACATGTCTGTCAAACTCAGTTCTGTGAATGCTTTACTAACCACGCAGCCATGGACCGCTGCCTTCCTTTCAGTTGGTCATATGATGACCATTCAGTGCGAAGCTGCAGATTTACGCTTTTGCTTGTTGTACATTATGTAACATGTGAAGCCTGGCATAACAAAATACTCAAGCGTGTACTTTACCCTGCAAGAAATTCCAGGGGCTTAGCAGTTAAACACATTTAGGGACACTGATCGGTTCTTCCCCAGAGACCTCTACCGTATTTAGTGATCATTATTAAAATAGTTATTGAAGTGCTCTTAGAACAATATAACAAGTATTTAGAAGGCCAAATGCATCTCCGTTACTTCTTCCTGTGCATCATCACTCCTCCTTTCAGATGGAGTATCAGTGCTCCCCATCACCCAGCTAGAGTTTACTACTGTTTGACCACAGAGAAGAAAAACAATAAAGTGATGAAGGGAATCCTAATGGAACTGCGGGACGCAGGGGAACTTGAACAAAATAAGTTTTATGTTTAAACATATATATGTGTTAGTTTAAATGTCATATTTCATGTAGGTAAGACAATCAGGTAAGAATTTGGGTTCAGCCCAAATTTCCGTACCAGAAGAACTCAGCCATTTCCCCATTGAAATCTCAAACTGGGGATAAATCCGGTATAAATCAAGAATGTGGAATAATTTGCCAAGAGTGTGGATCTTGCCTACAAGCATTATTGTTCCACTGTTATTATTACAGCTGTAATATGAGAGGATACCCTACAGAACCCAGATGAATTTCATTTTACCAGCACATTGTTCTGTATTTTTAGTAAGTACGAGTATATAATGGAAACGTAGTATTTAATTTTAAAATTCTGAGGTGGTCTTTTTTCTGATAACAATGCAGAAAAAGAGTTTGGTATATTTTTTTGAGGAATAGTAGAAGTCATATTTGATGCAAGTCAAATAATTATTTTTACAATTTAGCTTCCATTTCATTTTATCAACTTTTTGTTCTGCCCAAAGTTGCCCATGCAGAGTTGAATAGACCTAAATATTTCCATATATTTGGAAATTTTGTCTAGCTCTGACTACGAAAGGTTTTTCATTTCTACTAAGGAAATAAAAGTTCTCTTTAAAACTTACATAAAATCATACTGGTAAGAAATACAAAATGTTTAAGGTTAATCTCTAGTTTTCACTCTTTAAATTGTAATATAGACTGAAAGATTGTAAATGTATGTCTCAGTTACCACCTCCTTAATAGGCTTAGTTTCCAGGCCAAAAATTACTTTAAGATTAACCTGTTCTTGTTCTTTTTAATAAATCATGCCTTTCCGTGTTCAGATAAAGGTACTTTTTCTAAATTTCCTTACACTGTCATAAGATGTGTCATTTTAAAAGATGAGGCAAATGGGAGAAGAAAAGACAAAATACGTCTGTGCCAAAATATTCCTAAAATCAGATCATTGTCCAAGGTAATGACTAGATACTCAGCCAAACATAGATTTCTCCAAGCAGTCACAGTAATTGTTCAAATAATAATAGGCAGACAAAAATGCTTATTACGTTGTGTACAGATCTTGACCTGCCTTTTTTAGAAACACTGAACTGAACAGTAATAGTATTACATCTAGTATAGCACCTGTGATGTAAATTAAAGTATTAATTAAAGTACCATTTAAAGTACAAATTAAAGTAAACATTGGTACAGAAAAATTTGGCAAGACCTTCTTTCAGATCTAAACAAAGTTTCAAGATTGATGTTCTTCATTTATTGTGCATATGCACACACAACTGGATATTATTTTTTAAAAATGGGACAGCAAAGGGAAAGGTTAAGATTTTTTAAAAGCATCTGAAAAGGAAATTATGCTCAGCTTGTTTAATTAGGAAAATCAAAGGTGGTGCTTAATAATAACTTTGATTAGAATATAATTAAACTGAATTATTACTTCTTTTTATTATACTCATGAAATAAAAATGAAATGGATGCAAGAGCCACAGTTTCTTAATCAGTTTGCTGAGAGACTGGGATCAATGAAAAAAATGCCTCGTTTATCTTTAGTGCATGTTATTCCAATTAACAGCTCATGCAGGGTGTTTTAGAACTATTATTATTTTTAAATCTGCTGAGCTATTATGATTACTTCTTCCAAATCCTGCAGAAAATAACAAAGATAAATGACTGTACGGTTTTTCCGTAGAGTCCCACAGAGACAGCACATGCCATGAATTGAAATAGACAAATCTATTTAAAGAAAGGATACTGAGTAATAACTGAGTTTATGAAATTACAACCTAACCCACAAGTTAAATATGCTTTAACAATTCTGCCCAGGATCAAGGTAAATGAAGATGAAACCAATTTTTAAACCTGTCTCAAGTACCATGATTTTCTGTCATCTTTAAGGTATTTTGTTTAATTCTATTAAATTTACATACTTGAGTTCAAAGAGAAATCTTGGAGACTTTGTTATCAAACAATTTCTATGCAAATATAAAAGCTCCCTTTATATCATGCTTCCAGTTGACAAGGTCCTTTTCTTGGAAACAGTGTAGTCACAAGGGTGGAAAATTCTAGAGGCTTGTGTTTTAAATACCAATGTATCAGAAGTTGTAGACCTAATAACCTCAAAAATAATTCCATTATAATCATGCAGAAATTTCCTGAAAAAAATCAAATGAAGGGCAGTATATCCAAAAGTAACATATTCAAGAAAAGACTAGGTATGCAATGTCATATTTCACCTTGTGTTCAAGAACAAACAGACTTAACATTGCAAAACATGACTGTGGCCAAATCATGTAGTAAGACTGTGCTGATTCTGGGACAAAACGGAGAATACAAAAGCCTTTCCTTGATTCAGAAAAATAAAACCAAAGTGCCATTAGATTTTAAGATGACTGTCTGTATCTCACAATCTATAAGCACAATGGTATAAGCACTTGAGAGACTTAGGCTCGCTGGTTCATGGCTCTCTGATACAGCATTCAGGCTAGTTCATTTCTATTCATGCAAATAAGCCTGTTATTCTGGGATCAGTCTCAGCATTACTTGGAGAGTAATGCATTTCAGATATTCTGACTTGTTCTTTCGCTGCTGTTTGGCAAAGACCTAATAGTCAAATTTCTGGATATATGACCCCTGTTGATATTTTACATTGTAGGGTTTCAGAGAGCTGGTTATCTCACCTCTCCAAACGTTTCCCCAACTGCATGCTTTATGTTGTACCCATAAGGTAGTCCAAATCAGCGACAGGGCGGGTCATCCTTAATACAACCTAAGAGGCAGGGAAGTCTACATGGAAAATTTTGGCTTTCTGCCTGCATTGGCTCAGGGGCCTTCATCTTATTGCCATGACACCATTCTGTTTAGCAAGCTGGACACAAGCCAAAAT